TCGTGTGTGACCATTTGCGACCCCATGGGCTGTGGCCCACAAGACTCCACTGTCCGGGGAATTCTCCAGGCAAGAACACTGGAGTAGTTTGCCATTTCCTTCTCGAAGATCTGGGATACCTACCAGCAGAAGACCTAGATAAACATTTCTCCAAAGAAGACGTACAGATGGCCAACAGGCCACATGAAAAGATGCTCAACATCACCAATAAAAGGAAATGCAAATCGAAAACCACCAAGGGATATTGCGTCACACCAGTCAGAATGGCTATTATTAAAAAGTCTGCAGATAATAAATGCTGGAGAAGGGGTGGGGAAAAACAGAATCTCCTACACTGTTGATGGGAATGTAAGTTGATGCAGTTACTATGGAGAACAGTCTGGAGGTTCCTTTAAAAACTGAAAACAGAGTTACCATATGAACCAGCAATCCCATTCCTGGGTGTAAATCCAGAGAAGAACATGATTCAAAAAGATACATGCAGCCCAAAGTTTCATAGCAGCATTATTTAGAATAGCCAGGACATGGAAGCAACCTAGATGTCCATCAACAGATGAATGGATAAAGATGTGTGAAGTAACTCCCAGCCTAGGCCATGATCAGCACCCCATGAGTGACCCTCAGATGAGGTCAGGGTCTGGAGGTCACAGCGCTGGGCAGGGGGCAGGCTTGAGGGTCCTGAGAGAACAGGAGTCCTGATGCCCACCTGGCACCCTTACCTTCATCCCTAGTATTATATTTGGGAACATCTTTTTCAAATCTTGCATGCCTTGTGGGACCCAACCTGCTCGTAACTTGGGGATAGTTCTGCCAATGAAATTGCTGGCTGAAAACGCGACACTGGTGTCATGGAGGTGGTTCTAGTGGAAACCAACGCAAGCGATTTCGAAGCTGCAAAAAAAGATTCCACATGTGAGATTTTAGCAAGATAACCTCAAATGTACTGCTTTGCCCAAAGGCAGAATGAAATTTCTGCTGCTTCACTGTGATATCATTTGGGTGATTATGCAATAAATGCCTTTCTAGCTTCATATGGCACATTTTAAGGGGAAAAACAAAAACAATGTGTGCATGTTCAATCAGTAAGTTGTGTCCCACTCTTTGCGACCCCATGGACTGTAGCCCGCCAGGCTCCTCTGTCCATGAGATTCTCCAGGCAAGAATACTGGAGTGGGTTGCCATTTTCTTCTCTAAGGAATCTTACCAACCCAGGGATTGAAACTGCTTCTCCTGCAGGCAGATTCTTTACCCCTGGGCCACCTGGGAAGCCAAAAAATCCAATAGAGATACTTGTAAGAGATTCTTAGATGGGACTTCCCTGGTGGTCCAGTGGTTAAGACTCCATGCTGCCAATGCGGGGGGCAGAGCTTTGACCACTGCTCAGGGGAACTCAAGGGCATGGCAACCCACTCCAGTATTCTTGCCTGGAGAATCCCATGGGCAGAGAAGTCTGGCGGGCTACAGTCCATGGGGTCATAAAGAATTGCAACTTAGCACACACACAAAGTTTATCCAGTTTCCTCCTTCTCACTCCCAGTACAGTCACGACCACACACACACACACACGCATGGCAAAAGGGACTGGTCATCTGCGCATCCTTAAGGCTGAGATAATTCAAGGGCTTCACAGGAAGAAGGACGCTGAAACGGAAGCCTCTGCTTCTTTGGTGTTCCACGGCTCCTGCCTCAGATGCTGGGAATTCCTTCACTGACCTCTGGCCAAAACATTTGTTTCAACTGAGTCTATGTGACCCCCCTTCAAGGAACATAGCAGTATTTGACTAGCGGTAGAAATAACAGGAAACGACGGAAGACCACTGTCTGAAAGGTGGTGGAATTTTTACTGCAACGGAGAGATTTCTTCCGGGCACACATAGCATGTTTCTAAAAGTTGGATAGGTTGTCATTCCTTAGCTCTTCATGATTAGACTTGTAGAAAGCCTGCAGGAACTATTGTGTGATTGGCTTTTAAAACAATTTAGTTTCTTACATTTCAGAATAATTTTAGATTGGGACTTACCTGGTGGTCCAGTGGTTCAGACTCTGTGCGTCCCCTGCAGTGGGCATGGATTCCCCGGCAGAGGAAGTAAGATCTCCAGGAAAGTAAGATCCCGCATGCCCTGTGGCATGTGGCCGTCTCTTTTTGTAAATAAAGCTTTATTGGCACCATGCCTCATCCATTCACTTACCTTCTGCTACTGGCTACCCTGGGGCCCCCAGGGCAGTGGTGGGTAACTGCCATAGGGATCATGCAGCTTGCAAAGGCAAAAATATGTACTATCTAGCCTCTTCAGAACAGGCCTTCCCCGGTGGCTCAGCTGGTAAAGAATCTGCCTGCAATGCAGGAGACATGGGTTCAATCCCTGGGTTGGGAAGATGTCCTGGAGAAAGAAAGGCTACCCACCCCAGTATTCTGGCCTGGAGAATTCCATGGACTGTATAGTCCACAGGGTCACAAAGAGCCGGACATGACTGAGCAACTTTCACTTTTCTCTTCAGAATAAAGTTTTCTGACCCCTTGATAGACTAAAGTGTTGTCACAAGTTTGAGAGTCCGGGGTTACGGACATGTTTCACGGTGGATGAGACCCACACCGAGGACATCACGATGAGACCCAAAGACCCGAAGGGAAGAACCACCACGTTCAAACCATGGCTCCCTCAGGGGGTGGACAGACCCACACTTTCTCTATGAGTGCCTTTCGGTCCTTCCGAGATGGAGCTGTTGCTCTGGTCTGGGTATTAGACACGCTTCCGCCATGTATGTGACCAGTTGCATGTAAATTTGCGTCATCTGCAAACACGAGTTCTCGCCACAAGTCAAGCCCTTGAGGTTCGTGTGGGTTTCCTCTGCCCTGCTCATGGCCGCTTCCCTTAGCAGTGTAGCAGTCATTTCGAAATTAGCAAGAGTCTGTGGTTAGTGAGCAGACTGCCTCTTTGTTAGCTGAGATCTGACTTCAGAGCACATGCCTGCCCAGAAAACAGTCATCTCACTTTACTATGTTAGTATACTGTGCCTCAGAAAGGAACATAACATTTAAACGAAGGTTGAAATACGTAACGTGTGTATATGTGTCAATGGACATGAGTCTGGGTAAACTCTGGGAGTTGGTGATGGACAGGGAGGCCTGGCATGCTGCAGTCCATGGGGTTGCAAAGAGTCAGACATGACTGAACAACTGAACTGAACTGATAAATGTGTCCATTCTATACATCTCCCTGTGGGACCCTATACCAAGGTCACAGGTGTGGAGCCCTTGGACCAAGGTCACAGGATAAAAATCTCTGGAACTGATCAAGTCCTATAGCAACTGTTGCCCTGAGCCTCCAGATCTAAATTGGCCAGTTTCCTGACCCCATATGAGCTAAAATACCCACTCTGTTATCCACCCGATAGCATCCTAGGGGCTTCCCAGGTGGCACCTGAAATAAAGAAACAGCTTGCCAATGCATGAGACATAAGAGACCCAGGTTTGATCCCTGTGTCGGGAAGACCCCCTGGAGGAGGGCATGGCAACCCACTCCAATATTCTTGCCTGGAGAATCCCCATGGACAGAGGAGCCTGGTGGGCTACAGTCCATAGGATCTCAAAAAGAGTCGGACATGACTGAAGCAACTTAACACACATAGTATCCTAACCAATCACCTAATGCCACCCTTCGAGTAGGAATTTTCTGTCTTGAGGCTATAAAAATGGGCTGCTAGCCCATCAAAGGGGTCAGCCCTCCCTTGAGCCGGCCCCCTGTTCTAAAAGCATCTCCCAGTCTGATAGACACTCCTCTCCTCTCATTCTGCCTCATTTCTGGAAACTTTTCCAACCGGTGCACGGACCACAACACCCACTCCAACACACACTTCCTTGAAAGTGCGGTGACCTTCAGATGCCATCACATCTGAGACCACCTGCGACCTGCCTCCAGCCTCTCAAAAGTGGACTTCTTGTTGCTTCGAGATGCGAGTCGCAGAGAGTGCTTAGGTCGGTCTGACCTCTTTGCAGACACTCACGTTGACGGGGTGGTGAACCTCCTATTCCCTGCCGGAGCTTACGGAGTGATCTGCCTGGATTGAACTCTCAGCTCTATGATCTCTGTGAGCTTGGACATGTCACACGTCTTCTGCTGCCTTGGACAGAAACTGGAGATAGAAAGACGAGCCAGGGTGGGGGTTGCCAGTTAAGCCAGACTTGAAGTTGTCCAGTGCAGCCAACTCACGGAAGGCACTCGGATAAGGATACTCAAGTTAGCTTCAGTTCCTTCTTTGTCTCTGGACACAAACTCCACCCTCTCCTTTCCAGCCTGGGCTCGTCTCTTTGCAGGCTGAGACATGGACTTCAAGACAGTCTGATGGCTGCAGCACTGCCTGCTCTGCTGACTGCTCTCTTAGGCACTGTTTCTCAAGCCATCCATTTCTGCTGTTTCTTCAGAGCAAAGGCTGGGATTCCTTCCGGAAGCCAAGTCAGGTGAGGTTAATTCCCCACAGAAACCACAGGCCAGACTCTTTGATTTCTAAGTCTCAGTCACTCAGTTGTAGTCTGATTCTTCCTGACCGCATGACCTGTAGCCTGCCAGGCTCCACTATCCACGCAATTCTCCAGGCAAGAATCCTGGAATGGCTAGCCACTGTTCCCTTTTCAGGGGATCTTCCCGACCTCTGATGGAACCCTGGTCTCCCTCATTGCAGGCAGATTGTTTACTGAGCCACTAAGCCCCAGGTTCAAAACCTACCCATTGTGTACAATATTTGAAGAGCTACTGAATTCCCCCCCGGGTGGGGGGTAGGGGGACAGAAAAGGAGTTGAATGCCAAGATGTAACTCACCGCAGTGCTTTTTTTTTTTAATTTTATTCTCTTAAAGCTCTGTAGGCAACCTTGAGCATTTTTTCCATTCTGGAGGACACTGGGCAGAAACAGACTGAAATGCAGTGACGCTGTTGCACGGATCCGCCCCCGGAACCTTTGGCATCAGGGCAAATGAACAGACGCGGCATTTTCATCTTCTAAGGCACGTTCCACACACGGTCTTCCAAAAGAACGTTCTGCTTTCCAGGAGCCAAGGAAGTAGAAGATCAACTGTTCCAAACAGGTACTGAGATCTCCGCTCTCTGAAGGAATCAGGGTGTGGGGAGTAGTCCTACAATGGTTTGTCCTGTGTTTACAAGCAAGTGCATACTCTCCAAGGGCGGTTAAGGTCTCCACAGCGTCAGTGTGTGTTCTGACTTCTAGCAAAGCAGCTGCCCCCTGCTTCCAGACAAGCCAGCGCGGATCTTTCTGAAGCGGCAGCGTCTGCAGCTCCTGGTTAGAGTCTCTGCTTCCATCTCGCAGTGACCTCCCCTCTGCCTTCCGCCCCAGCAGAAGCCCAGTCCTGTGGTTTTCCAGGAGGAAGGCTGAGGAGCTGAGGCCAAACTCTGTCTTATTTAAAACTGCAAAGCTGGTGGTGGAAATGGAGATGAGCCGCTGGCATGGGAGAAGGTGGTGGAAAAGCATAGGGACGCCTTACCTCTGGTTGGAAAAATTCTGAAACAGCATGTTTACTGCTGGGAGGAGGTCAAAGACTGTTTGCTCCTGGCTGCAGATGGGCCTGTTAAATTTCCTGATGATAAGTATGATGGAGTTGGTGTTTTTCTTTTTCTTTTTTTTTGCAAGTTTTGGTTAGTAAAGAATCTGCCTGCAATGCAGGAGACATGGGTTTGATCCCTGGGTTGGGAAGATTCCCTGGAGAAGGAAAAGGCTACCCACTCCAGTATCTTGGCCTGGAGAACTCTATGGATTATATAGTCCATGGGTTCGCAAAGAGTGGGACAGGACTGAGTGACTTTCACTTTCACTTTTGGTAAAGCCATAACTTAGATGGGGCTCTTTTTCAAGCTTGAAGAATTGTTGTTGGTTTTTTTTTTTTTAAAGCTGACTCAGTATATTACCAATAGTACTAATATCATTTTGAAACTTATGCGTATAGAATTCAGCATGATTTTCAATGTGTAATGCAATTCTTCTAAAAATGAAAGCAGTTGGGCTTTCGTGGTGGCTCACAAGGTAAAGAATCCACCTGCAATGAAGGAGACCTGGGTTCAATGCCTGGGTCCAGAAGATCCCATGGAGGAGGGCATGGCAACCCACTCCAGTATTTTTGCCTGGAGAATCCCATGGACAGAGGAACCTGGAGGGCTAGAGTCCACGGGGGTCATAAAGACTCGAACACGAATGAGCGACTAACACACTTTAAGAAAATCTGAATAAACTTGAACATTTTTTTTCCCTAAACAGAATTACTCCTGAAAGCTAATATACAACGTGAAAAATCTAACCCTACATTATTCAGATGAGTAATAATGGAGCGGACCTGAAGGTGCAAAACGTGTGTGTGTGTGTGTGTGTGTGTGTGTGTGTGTGTGTCCAGTTTGGCAAAAGAGTTTCCCCTTTCTTCAAAGGTTTGTTAATTTCAAGCGAAAGTCCTAGCTCTATAGGGTGATTTCCGTGGTGGAGAGCGGCCATAGAAAAGCAGTATTTTCAGGCTAATCACCGCAGGGTCACTCTTTATGAACTGGCAACGGATCAAAATGAAGGATGTCAGAGACTCAGACTGGTCAGACCTGGCAAGAGCGTGTGCTTTCTGGGGGAGATGGGTTAAGATGAGACAGCAGTGTTGGGGGCTCCAGGTTCTGGAGAATTAACAGCCCCCGACCCGGGGAAGGCCTGCTGATGGGCGAGAGAGCCGACTTCCCCGACCCTGAGCGCTCCGCCCCCCACCCCTCCTCCTCGCTACCAAGCATCACCCTCGTGAGGCCTCGTGGCATTCCGCGCTGCCCTCACTGAGCCTGGCGCCTTTTCTGCCAGCGCGGGGCGGGGATCAGGCGGGGGCCGCGGGGAGGCCCAGGGCACATGACGCCCCCTCCCCGCGGCCCCCGCGCCCAGCACATGACCCAGGTCGGCCGGCAGACCCGAGCCGCGCGCGTCCCCAGCACGACCCATGGCCTCCCCGCGCCTCGGCACCTTCTGCTGCCCCACGCGGGACGCCGCCACGCAGCTCGCGCTGGGCTTCCAGCCGCGGGCCTTCCACGCTCTGTGCCTGGGCAGCGGCACGCTCCGCCTGGCGCTCGGCCTCCTGCTGCTGCGTCCCAGGCGCTGGCCCGCGGGCCCCTGGGTCGACTTGGCCCCGCCGCGGACCTCGGCCCGACGCGCGACTCGCGCGGGCGGGGGAAGGGGGGGCCCCGTCGGTGTGCGAGTGAGGGCGCCCGGCCCGCGGGTGGGGACCCCCTTCTTGGGAAGTGAGGGCGCACGGCTGGGGACCCTTCCGTGCATGGTTCAGGGTCCGCGCGTACTGCGAGGGTGGAGTCCCCTCCGCGCGCAGTTAAGCGCGCGCGGCCCGCGAGTAGGGCTCCCTCTGTAGCTGAGGATGTTGGGTCCCCAAGTAGGGACGCGTCTGTGCGTTTTTTCAGGGCGCGCCTAGGTGCGCAGTTGGTAGCCCGCGGCCCACGGGTGGTCCTCCGTGGGAGGTTGACAGGGTGCGGCCCGCCAGTGGGGACCCCTCCGTGGGATTGGGGGCGCACGGCCCGTCGTAAGTGGGGACCACTGCGTGCGCGGCTGAGGGCGCGCGGCTCAAAGGTGGCGACCCCTCCGTGCGCAGTTGAGCGCGCGGGGCCCGTGAGTAGGGCTCCCTCAGTTTGTGGGTGAGGACGCCTGGCCCCCAAGTACAGACCCGTCTGTGCGGTTTTTCAGGGCGGGCGTATGTGCGCGGTTGAGGACCCCGCGGCCCCGCGGGTGGGCCTCCGTGCGAGGTTGAAGGGGTGTGGCCCGCCAGTGGTGACTCCTTCGTGGGAATTGAGGGCGCACAGCCCGTCGTAGGTGGGGACCACTGCGTGCGAGGTTGAGGACGCTCAACTCAACGGTGGGGACCCCTCCGTGTGAGGGTGAGGACGCCAGGCCCGCGAGTAGGGACCCGTCTGTGCGTTTTCTAGGGTGCACGAACCACTGGTGCGGACCCCTCCATGCCCAGTTGAAGGCCCGTGGCCCGCGAGTGGGGATCTTTCCGTGTGTGCTTGAAGGCGCTCTGCCCGCGAATGGGGACCCCTCCGTGCGCGGTTGAAGGCACACGGCCCGGGGTGGGAACCCCTCCATGCCCATTTGAAGGCCCATGGCCCGCAAGTGGAGACCTCTCTGTTGAGAGCGCGGCCCGCGAGTGGGGACGCCCTCCGTGCGCGGTTGAGGGCAGACTGCCTGCTGGTTGGGTCCCCTCTGTGTGTGGGTGAGGATACCAGGCCCACTAGTAGGGACCCATCTGCGCGTTCTCCAGGAGTCAAGTACCATGGGTCGGGACCCCTCCGTGCCCAGTTGAGGGCCAATGGCCGGAGAGTGGAGTACCCTCCGTGTGCGGTTGAGGGCGCACGGCCCGCAGGTGGGGACCACTGCGTGCGCGGTTGAAGGCACCAGTCCGCGGGTGGGAAGCCCTCCGTGCCCAGTTGAGGGCCCATGGCCTGCGAGTGGGAACCACTGCGTGAGCGGTTGAAGGCACACATCTTTGTGGTGGTGACCACTGTGTGCGCGGATGAAGACACACGGCCCATGGGTCTGCGAGTGGGGACCTCTCTGTGCCCAGTTGAGAGCGCGTGGCCCACGAGTGGGGACGCCCTTCATGGGAGTTGAGGGCGCACAGCCTTGTGGTGAGGACAACTCCGTGCGCGGTTGAGGGCGCAGAGCCCACAGGTGGGGAACCCTTGGTGTGCAGTTGAGGGCGCGTGTACAGCCTCAAGGACCCATCCGTGCGCGGTTGAAGGTGTGCGGCCCGCGAGTTGGAATCCCTCCGTGTGTGTTCGAGGGCGCACGGCCCGCGGGTGGGAACCACTGCGTGAGCGTTTGGGGGCGCAAAGCCTTGTGGTGGGGACTGCTGCATGCACGGTTGAAGGCACACGGCCCGTGGGTGGGAAGCCTTCCATGTGCAGGCAAAGACGTCGGGCCGCGAGTTGGGACCTGTCTGTGGGTTTTCCAGGGCGCACGTAGTGCCTGTCGGGACCCCTCCATGCCCAGCTGAGGCCCGTGGCCCTTGAGTGGGGATACCTCCGTGTGTGCTTGAGGGCGCGCTGCCCGCGAGTGCAGACGCCTCTGTCCGCGGTTAAGGGCGCACGGCCCGTGGTGGGGACCACTGCGTGCGCGGTTGAGGACGCCTGGCCCGTGAGCAGGGAGCTGTCTGCCTTTCTCAGGGCACGCGCACCTTGGGTCAGCACTCCTCTGTGTGCCGTTGAAGGTGCGCGGCCAGCGAATGGGGACCTCTTCTTACGCGGTTGAGGGCACACGGCCCGCGGGTGGGAACCCCTCCATGCCCAGCTGAGGGCGCGGGGCCCGCGAGTGGGGACCCCCTTCTTGGGAGTTGAGGGAACATGGCCCTCGACAGGGGAACCCTTCATGTGCAGGGAAGGACACCCGTCCCGGGAATGGTGAGCATGGTTCAGGGTGTGCGTACCGCGGATGGGGTCCACTCCATGCGCTGTTGAGCGCGCCTGGTCTCCAGAACTGGAGACCCCTCCATATGCGGGTGAGGACGCCAGGCCCGCAAGTGGGGGACCCGTCTGTAAGTGGTTGAGGGAGCCCGGCAGGCGGGTGGGGTCCCCTCCGTGAAAGGATGAGGGCACCCTGCCCATGGGTAGGGACCCATCTGTGCGTGGTTGAAGGCGTGTGGCCTGCGAGTGGGGAGCCCTGGGTACGGGCGGGGGTGCCCAGCCGGCGGGTGTTACTTGTTTTAGGGCAAGTGGCCGCGAGTGGGGACCCCTCCATGTGCAAATGGGGACCCCCCCGCTTTGGGTACCGGATATTTGTGGTTGAGAGCGCCTGGCCCACAGCTGGGAGGACTGATCCAGAGACGGCTTCCCAGGGACACAATGGGAGGAGGAGTAGAATCTGCAATACAAGATGGGTAAAAGTTGCTTCCGGGGACTTCTTTTTTTCTTTTTCTTTTATTTAACACTTTGATTTATTTGTTACTGCTCTTATTAGGGAAACTTTAGGCAGTGCTGTGAAGGAGAACCCAGAAAATACAACGGTTCCATGATCGTTCCACCAGTGAGAGACTAATAGTATTATCAGGCCTGAGCGCACACACATGCAGTTGTTTCCAAACCAATTTATCAGGATCAGGAAGAAAACTCCATATATACGATAAAATTTTTATTTCCTTTTTTATCTATGTATCTATCTGAGTTTTGGTTTTCTATCACAGGTGTGATAGAGACTTGTAGTCTCTAGGCTAAATCCAGCCTGCTTTTCTATGTACCGGCCATGAGTGAAGAACGTTTTTACATTTTAAAGTGTGTTTTAAAAATCTACAGGGGCTTCCCTGGTAGCTCAGATGGTAAAATGTCTGCCTGCAAGGTGGGAGGCCCGGTTTCAATCCCCGGTCAGGGAACAAGATCTCACATTGCCGCAACTAAGACCTGGCCCAGCCAAGTAAATAAATACTTTTAAGAAAATCTACAGAACAACAGTATTTCTGACATGTAAGCATCCCGTGAAATGTGAATGTCAGCGTCCATAAGTGGAGTCTGATGGGGATACAGCCATGCCCTGCACTTGTGCACTGTTGAGGCCACACCTTCCGCCCACCCTGATCCCCCACGAGGGCATAGAGAGTGAGTGTTGCATAGAGAAAGTGTGGCGGGAGAGCCTAAAATGTTTTCTCTCTGATCCGTTGCAGAAACTTTGCTGACCCCTGCTTTCAACCCTAGCATGGCATGTTCTACAAACTCTAAGCTCAATACTGCTGACCTTTTAAACTTTTTATTTTGGACTTTATTACATATATGCAAAAGTAGAGAGACTGTATAGTGAACCCCCTGTTCTCATCACCTCTATACTTCACCCCTGCACCCCACTCTCCACTGAATTAATTTGAAGCAGATCCCAGAATTTGTATCATTTCATCCATACAAATTTCAGTATGTAACTATAGAAGAATTCAACATATATATATATAATTATAATATATAACTTATGTTTATTGTAACATACTGTATACTATATGTGTGTCTATGTTAGTCACTCGCTCATGTCTGACTCTTTGCAACCTCATGGACTGTAGCCCACCAGGCTCCTCTGTCCATGGGATTCTCCAGGCAAGAATACTGCAGTGGGTTGCCATTCCCTTCTCCAGGGGATCTTCCCAATCCAGGGATCAAACCCGGGTCTCCCGCATTGCAGGCAGATTCTTTACTGAGCCACCAGGGAAGCCATATACTGTATAGTATGTTACAATATCATTATATATTACAATATATAATATATTTACTATGTTATATTAGTGAAGTGAAATCACTCAGTTGTGTCCGACTCTTTGTGACCCCATGGACTGTAGCCCACCAGGCTCCTCTGTCCATGAGATTTTGCAGGTGATGATACTGGAGTGGGTTGCCATTTCCTTCTCCAGGGGATCTTCCCAACTCAGGGATCGAACCTGGGTCTCCTGCATCACAGGCGACACTTTACCCTCTGAGCCATCAGGGAAGCCCAATATGTTATATTAAGTATAATATAGTATCATATTATAATATATAATTATATATATACATATATCACACTGATATCATTACTGCCTAAAAAATAAGGAAAACTGATTCCTTCATATCACTGCTCCATATTCAGGCATGTCATACATGCCAGTTTTCAGTTAGTTAGTTCAAATCAGGATCCAAAGAGCGTCTGTGTTCTGTAAGCGCTGACAGGTGCTGGCCATGTTGGAATCATCTGCTCTTGAAGGAGAGGCCTTGATGGTATTTGAGTGCCTTCCACCTCCGTGTCCTGAGGGTGTAAGAGCAGCTTCTAGCCGCCTTGACCAGGTATCTGGTGGATGTGTCCCAGGGCCTGGCTCTCCTGCTCTTCTTGCTGTTTTGTGCTTGGAGATGCTCAAGAATCTTGACTCCAGACACGTGCTGTGGAACCTCTTAATCACTTTTTCAGATTGGAGTAAGACAGGAAGGAATACTTCCCTTTCTGTTAGTCACCAAGCGAATGTGGTACAGGATAATTAAATTAAAAAAAAATCTGTGTTCTCCCTGATTCTGCTGAAGCATTTGGGGGAAGCATCTTAATAGTTTCAGAAACTTGAATATCTGGAAATAGAGTTGCAGCCAAACATCTTCTGGGGGTCAGGAAATAAGATTGGCACATCCTTTGGCCTTTCGAAGGAAGGTACATGGCACTGTGGGCAAATCAGCAGAAGCAGGGGTCAGGTCTAGGCAGGAGGTGTCTGGACCTCCTCGCTGGAAAATAACAAGCACAGGTGCCAAGACGTCCCTGGTGGTCCAGTGGAAAAGGACCCGCCTGCCAATGCAGGGGACGCAGGTTCGAACCCTTGTCCGGGAGGATCCTGCATACTCCAGTCTCTGTGAGCCACCATTACTGAGCCTCCGCTGTAGAGACTGGGGTCCACAGCTTCTGAAGCCCACGACCCACCTAGAGTCTGCACTCCACAACAAGAGACACCACGGCAATGAGAAGTCCACAATGAGAGCCCCTACTCTCTGAAACTAGGGAAAGCCTGCAAAGACCACTGCAGCCAAAATAAAGACAGAAAGAAATACAGATGCGTGTCTCATGGGGTGTTTTTTTTACCCAGTATTTTTTAAAATCTTTTTTCATTTCCTTAGACAAATTGCACAGCTTGTGGGATCCCGATTCCCTGACCAGGTATTGAACCTGGGCCATGGCAGTGAAACCACAGAATCCTAACCACTAGACCACCAGGGAACTCCTGCCCCAGCTTTACTGAGACTTCATGGACATACAGCACCAGGAAACATTTATGTATCCAGCACAAAGGCTCACATTTACCAAAAACGTTTCCTAAACACCCATTACCTCATATACATGCAAAAAAAAACCAATAATAATAAGGTGTTTATTGAGCTCAAAGCAGAGCTCTATAGAGAAAACAACAAAGCACTATTTGGAAGAAAACATTATTTCTGTTATTCGAGCTTAAGAATGGGAAGCGACATCTTTAGGATTTTAGTGTCCATAATTCCCTTTGGTGGTGTAGGACACAGTGTATATTTGGTTGCCTCTTTTGAAGCATATGTTTTGTATGCCAACTATACACATTATGGTGGTATACAAGTCTGTACTGTTCACTTCCCCTTGAGCATTTTGTGTTATACAGTGTATGCTCAAACAGATGTTATTGCAAACCTAACAACCCTAATATACACCTCGAGTGTGGATACCGATTAGAGGCGAATTAGGTATCTGATGTCAATTTTTTTTTTTTAAAAGAACAGAGGAACTCTCTTTCACAACTTCAGAATAAACTTTTTTGGGGCTTCCCTGGTGGTCTGATGGTTGAGACTCCGCCTTGCAATGCAGGGCAGACGGGTCCGATCCCTGGTCTGGGAAGATCCCACGTGCCATGGAGCGACTAAGTCCATGCACCACAACTAGTGAGCCCACGAGCCATGACTGCTGAGCCCAGGCGATGAAACTACTGGAGCCCAGGTACCCTGGAGCTGGTTCTCCGCAACAAGGAAGCCACGGAGACGGAGACGAGAAGCCCAAGGGTAGCAGCCCTTGCTCGCTGCACCTAGAGAAGGTCCTGTTAGCGGCAACAAAGACTAACCAATAAAATAAATCAATACATCTTTTTTTAAAAAATTAAAAAAGAAAGAATGTGCTTTTTTTCAGTCATTTTTTTTTTTAACATGAGGACTAGTTGAGCTGGACACTAAAAATATGGGCAAGAAACACACTGTTATTCACACCGTCGCTTCTTAGAGGCAGATAAACGAACAAGCAAAATAAGGGACATGACTGTAGCTGATGTCAGTGAAAGTGGAAATCAAAGTGCCTGCAGTTGCTCCGCAACCATAATCCTTATCTTCTGAGTCTGTTTTTTTTTTTTCTCTATCTCTCCTGCACCCACCAACATGTGTGTCTTTCCTCTCTGCCTCCTCATGTCTTTCTCTCTCCCTTCCTATCTTCTATCCATCCATCCTCTCATCTGTCCATGCGTCCATTTGTACATCCATCATTTTTACAGTCACCAGGTCCCCTTTAGGTATGAGTCAGGAGCAGATACAAAGAAAGCATTATCGCCTGGTTGTCCCTTAGGTATCGCGGTCCGGTCTGCGGTGTGGTTAGGGTTTCCGGGTTTCGTGGACGACATCTCCGCCGTGAACAGGACAGACGTGTGGCCAGCTGTCTTCTGCATCGGGAGTGCAGTAAGTGTGGTTCCCCTGGTCCCCCTGCCCACCCCTCCACTCCCCTCTGTTACGCTGAGTCCTTAAAGTGTGGTCCTGACCCTTCCACCAGCCCAGTGCAGGTTTTAGAAAAGCTCAGAGACCCCACCCTTACCCCACTGACCAGGAACCCTGTGTGGGGGGGACTGTTTGTGAGTTAACAAACCCTCCAGGGGTCTCTGGAGCATCTCAGGCGGCTCACAGGTGAAGAACCTGCCTGCTAATGCAGGCGATGTGGGTTTGATCCCTGGGTCAGGAAGATCGCCTGGAAGAGGAAACGGCAACCTACTCCAGTATTCTTGCCTGCAGAATCCCATGGACAGAGGAGCCTGGTGGGCTACAGTTCATGGGGTCACAAAGAGTCAGACACGACTCAGAGACTACACAACCACCAGTGGCCTCTGAGCCTCACTCCAGTTTGAGAACCACTGTGCTAATATTTTCCTTCCCCCATCCTTAAACACACATTTAATCCTTACCTGAGATTTAGCCACAGTCAAAACAAACTGGTTAGTAAAAAAAAAAAAAAAGGAAGGAAAAGAAAAAAGAAAGTTATTGATTTATTGCAGGTATGTACTTACCAAAACTGTATTTAAGTACATCTATTCATGGGCTTCCCAGGTGATGCTAGTAGTAAAAGAACTTGCCTGCCAATGCAGGAGACATAAGAGACGTGGGTTCAGTTCCTGGGTCGGGAAGATCCCCTGGAGGAGGGAATGGCGACCCATTCCAGCATTTTTTGCCTGGAGGAAACCCATGGACAGAGGAGCCTGGCGGGCTACAGTCCACAGGGTCATGAAGAGTTGGCCACCGTTGAAGGGACTTAGCATTACAGCACGTCCCTGCCTTGCTTCTCCTGGGAAGGTCCTTCCTGCGCATCCTCTTTCATCCTCAGCAGAAGGGCTTCTGGTTCAAAGTGCCAGGCCAGGCCTTTCATCTCTGAGCCCTTCATCTCTCTGCCTACACGTGTGAGCACCAGGAGGGGCTCGCTGGACCAGTTCAGCTGAGCAGACGGCGGAACCAAGGCACCCACCGGTCCCCAGGCCACATCCCAGTCTGGGCTTCCAAGGGTTGCCACGTGTATGCAGAGGGCTTTCCTGGGACCCCCGATGATGTCAGGGGTGGGGCGGGGCCACCTGCAGCCCGCACCCAGGGGCTGGGATGACGTCAGGGGCGGGACGGGGCCACCTGCAGCCCGCACCCAGGAGCTGGGATGCCCCGCTTGTGATTACAGCTCTGGATCCAGCTACTGTACAGCGCTTGCTTCTGGTGGTTGTTCTGCTATGCGGTGGACGCCTACCTGGTGATCCGGAGGTCGGCGGGACAGAGGTATTCAGAGTGAGCGGCCGGGTTCTTCTGCCCTAGTTCGTTGACCGAAGGGAACGTTGGAGAGGCCACGAGCACTCTTATTTCTGTAGGGTAGACATAGAAAGTGAAAGAGGAGAGCAAAAAAGTTGGCTTAAAGCTCAACATTCAGAAAACTGAGATCATGGCATCCAGCCCCATCACTTCCTGGCAAATGGATGGAGAAACAGTGGAAAGAGTGGCAAACTTTATTTGGGGCGGGGGGGCTCCAAAATCACCGCCGATGGTGACTGCAGCCATGAAATTAAAAGATGCTTAATTCTAGGGAGAAAAGTTATGACCAACCTAGACAGCATATTAAAAAGCAGAGACATTACTTTGCCAACAAAGGTCTGTCTAGTCAAGGCTATGGTTTTTCCAGTGGTCATGTATGGATGNGAGTTGTACTCAGACTCATGTCCATTGAGTCGGTGATGCCATCCAACCATCTCATCCTCTGTCATCCCCTTCTCCTCCCACCTTCAATCTTTCTCAGCATCAGGGTCTTTTCCAATGAGTTAGTTCTTCGCATCAGGTGGCCAAAGTTTCAGCATCAGTTCTTCCAATGAATATTCAGGACTGATTTCCATTAGGATGGACTTGTTGGATCTCCTTGCAGTCCAAGGGACTCAAGAGTCTTCTCCAACACCACAGTTTGAAAGAATCAATTCTTTGGTGCTCAGCTTTCTTTATGGTCCAACTCTCACATCCACACATGACTACTGGAAAGACCATAGCTTTGACTAGAGGGACTGTGAATGCCTTAGGTTAAGGGAAACAGATGAGACTCAGAAGGCCACGTTGTTTATGCTTCCACTTGGATGAAATGTCCAGAATAGGCGAATCCATAGAGACAGACGGTGGGTGAGTGGTTGCCTGGGGCTGGAGGTGCAGACGTAATGGGGAGAGACCCCCGAATGGGTCTGGGTGTCCCTTTAGGGGGATGAACATGTTTCAAAACTGGCTTGAGGCGGGGCTTGCATGGCACTGTGCATGTCCTAAATGCCGCTGAGTTGTTCACTTTAGAATGGTGAGTTTGATGTCATGTGACTTTCACTACTCGGCACTAATGGGTGAAGCAGCCATAGACAATACATACACAAGTGGGCACGGCTGTGTGCCAATAAAACTTTATTGACAAAAGCAGGCGGAGGGCCGGATCTGTACTGAGGGCCATGTTTAAACAAACAAACAAACAAACAAAACCACCCTCTGAGGCACAGTCAAGGGGCTGTTTGCCGAGAGTCTGCTCTGCATGTTTTCCCTCTGCTGGAGGAGTGCGGGGCTGGGCAGGTGCTGGACCTGAGGTTCTGCACCTGTATCCTCCCTCCCCCAGCACCATCCTGCTGTACCACCTGATGGCCTGGGGCCTGGCCGCCCTGCTGAGCGTGGAGGGGGCCCTCATGCTGTACTATCCTTCCTTGACCAGGTAAGCCGGGGCTCCCCCGACGCCCGACCCCCTTGGGGCATCCTCCTGCAGGACATGCCTGGGTGCTGACCCCGCGTGGGTGGGCGGGCCATTGTCCAGCGTCCGTGCAGCCGCGAGCACATGCCTGGCTCCTTGAGCCGGTCAGGGTCCCCCGCTCCTGCCGGTCACGTGTGTGTTGGTTTGGTCCTGTGCCCAGTGTGGATACACAGCTTGAGGTGGGGCTTGCACGGCACCGCGGATGTCCTAAATGCCTCCAAGTCGTCCACTTTACAATGGTGAGTTCGACGTTACATGACTTTCACTACTCAGCGCTAATGGGTAAAGCAGCCATAGACAATACATACACAAGTGGGCATGGCTGTGTGCCAATAAAACTTTATTGACAAAAGCAGGCGAAGGGCCGGATCTGTACTGAGGGTCGTGTTTAAACAAACAAACAAAAAAACAACCTCAGAGGCACAATCAGAGCTGGGGGTGAATCTCTTCTCCCTATATGCCTGTGATGGGCATGGCTTTCCCCTACCTGCTCTTTTTTTTTTTTTTTTTTAATCCTTCAAACCAGCTTCCTCTGGGCATGCGGGTGAGTTGAACATCCCAAGGATGCATTGCAGATGTCTGGGAGACTCAAAGGGTTGCTTTTAGAATAGCTCATTTTCAGCCTCTGCTGTCTGCACTTTTTTTTACATGTCTCCATCCTGTGCTCTTCTGAACACACGCTGGGAAATGTGGCCTCTGAAACTGTCTCAGACATTTCTTTGAGTCTGAATCCCTGCCCTTTATCATTTATAAAACCTCAAGGCCCCTCTTAGGAGATACACTCTATGTTTTAATGGAAAACTGAAAATCAGAGGTTGGACACGGTCTCTTGGTGATTTTAAGGTGGTGTAGACCCAGGGAGGGGCTTCCTGTCTAGCTCAGCTGGTAAAGAGTCTGCCTGCAATGCAGGAGACTCCAGTTCAATTCCTGGGTTGGGAAGTTCCCCCAGAGAAGGGATAGGCTACCCACTCCAGTATTCTTGGATGTCTCTGGTGGTTCAGACAGTAAAGAATCCACCTGCAGTGCAGGAGACCTGGATTTGATCCTAGGTTGGGAAGATTCCCTGGAGGAGGGCATGGCAACCCACCTCAGTATTCTTGCCATGGAGAATCCCATGGATGGAGGAGCCTGGTGGGCTACAGTCCATGGGATTGCAGAGAGTTGGACATGACTGAGTGACTTAAGCCCAGCACAGCACAGACCCAAGGATCAGTACCGCATGGTCCTTAGTACAGATCCAGCCCTTCTGCTTTTGTAAATAAAGTTTTATTGGCACACAGCCGTACCCATTTGTGTATGTATTGTCTATGGCTGTTTCCATTAGAGTTGAGTAGATTTGACAGAGGCTGTGAGGGTTCTGAAGCCTAAAATATTTCCTTTCTATTTAGAGAAAAAATTTGCTGACCTGTGGTGTAGACTTTTTCTCCCCATCTTTCTTAATTTCTTGTAGCTGTTCAGTCAAATGTCTCCACAGTCCTATTGTCTTGTCAACTGTGACTACTTCCAGGCCTCTGTGTAGACCCCTCAAAATAACCTGCTCGCCCCAGGAACCTTAAAAGGACAAAGACAGAGTAAGCAGCTGTCACAGAGGGATGCACTTAATCGGAAAGAATTTTTATCCCTCACCTCCACCCGTGGGATTCTGGGGCTGTTTCCTTTGAGCCCAGGTGCTCCTGAGATTAACACAAGGCCTCCCCCTGAAGCATCTTAATTCTCCATCATCTCATCCTCCAACATCTCCACCCTCAGTCCTCCCCACCTTCTATCATCTCCAACATGCATCACCTCCAACCTCCATCATCTCCACCCACCATCATCCCATCATGCCCATCTTTCATCATCTCATAGGCCATCATCTCATCCTCCAACATCTGCACCCTATATCATCCCCACCCTCCAACATCTCTACCCTCAATCATCCTTACCCTCCAACATCTCCACCCTCAATCATCTCCACNCATCATCCCATCATGCCCATCTTTCATCATCTCATAGGCCATCATCTCATCCTCCAACATCTGCACCCTATATCATCCCCACCCTCCAACATCTCCATCCTCAATCAACCCCACCCTCCAACATCTCCAACATACATCACCTCCAACCTCCATCATCTGCAACTTCCATCATCCCATCTTCTCTAACCTCCATCATCTCATCCTTTATCATCTCATCATGTCATCTTCCATCATCTCCTTCCTCTATCATCTCCATCCTCCAACAGAACCATCCTCCATTATCTCCATCCTCCATCATCTCCAGCCACCATCATTTCATCTGCCGGCATGTCCACCCTCTATCATGTCAACCCTCCACCATCTCCACCCCTCAGTTTGCCCTCCACTGTCCCATCATCTCCACCCTCCATCATCCCATCATGTCTACCTCCATCATTTCATCCTCCAACATCTTCCCCCTGCCTCATCCCCACCCTCCAACATTTCCACCCTCAATTATCTCCATCCTCCTTCTTCTCTACCCTCCAACATTTCCACCCTCCATCATCCCATCATCTCTATCATCCCATCATCTTCAGCCTCCATCATCTCCAGCTTCCATCATCTCTGCCCTCCATCATCCCCGCCCTTCATGATCTCCAACTTCCATCATCCCATCTTCTCTAACCTCCATCATCTCATCCATAATCATCTCTACCATCTATCATGTCCACCCTCCATTATCTCTGACCTCCTTTATCTCATCATTTCCATTATCCCATCATCTCCTGCCTCCATCATCTCATCTTCCATCATCACAACCTTCCATCATCTTTTAGTTCAGTTCCATTGCTCAGTCATGTCCAACTCTTTGTGACCCCATGAACCACAGCACGCCAGGCCTCCCTGTCCATCACCAACTCCCGGAGTCCACCCAAACCCATGTCCATCGAGTCGGTGATGCCATCCAACCATCTCATCCTCTGTCATCCCCTTCTCTTCCTGACCTCAGTTTTTCCCAGCATCAGGGTCTTTTCAAAATGCCCTCTGTCATTTCCACCCTCCATCAGTCATCTCTACTTCTATCATCCCATCTTCTCTAACCTTCATCATCTCATCCTACATCATCTCCACTCTCCATCATGTCCAGATTCCATCATCCCATCATCTCCAGCCTCCATCATCACATCTTCCATCATCTCTATCCTCCATCATCTCCATCTTTGATCATAACCATCCCCATCATCTCCAGCCACCAAAATCTTTGGCCACCATCATCTCATCTTTCATCATATCCACCCTCCATCATCTTCATCCTCCATCTTCTCCAACCTTCATCATCTCTACCCTCCATCATCCCATCATCTCATCTTCCATCATCTCTACCTGCCATCTTCTCATCCTTCATCATCTCCATCCTTCACCATTTTCATCCTCCATCATCTCTAGCCACCATCATCTCCAGCCATCATCTCTCACCCTCCATCATGTCCACTCTCCATCATCACATCATCTCCAGCCTCCACCACCCCATCATGTCCATCCTCCACCCTCTCCTCCTCCATCATCCCATCCTCTCTGCACTACATCACCTCCAACCTCTATCATCTCCCATATCCATCATTTCCAACTTCCATTATCTCATCTTCTCTAACCTTCATCATCTCATCCTCCATAATCTTCACTTTTCCCCATATCCACTCTCCATCATCCCCTAGTCTCCTCCATCACCTCCATCCTGCATCATGTCCACCCCCATCATCCCATCATTTCCTCCTCTACCATATCATCCTCTATCATCTCATTCCCTCAGCTCCACCCGGTATCAGTTCCATCCTCCCTCATCTCTTCCCTCCATCATTTCCATTCCTCCACCAACTCCACCTTCCACCATCCCATCATGGCCACCCTCCATCATCTCATACTCCATCATCACCACCCACCATCATCTCCATCCTCCATTATGTCCACTCTCCATCATATCTACTCTCCATCCTGTCCTCCCTCCATCATCTTCTCCTTCCATCACCTTCTCCCCCCATCATCCCATCATCTCCAACCTCCATCTTCTCCACCCTCCATCATTTACATCCTCAGGGCCTGAGCCCCACAGCCCCCGGGACTGTGCAGGCTCCCAACCTCACTCATTTGTCCCTCATGCTCATCATTCAAATTTCATCTGTTGCTCCTCGTGTTTCCACTTCTCCCCTCAAGCCCTTGTAGACCATGGTTTAGCTTTCACAGCTGAAGAAGAAAGCTTCTTTTAAAAAAGAACTCACCATCTCCACATGGTATTGCCATCCTTAGGGCAAGAAAAGATGGGCACTGCATTTTTCATGCCTGTTTTCATGCATTTTCCTGCCACTTTCATCTTTGGTGTGAGCACTTCATACTGATGAAAGCACCGGCATCTTTATCATCCCCGCCTTCCCTGGCCACCAGGGCTGCACCCTCCTCTGGTTTTCCACCTCATCTGGGGTCTGACCTGAGCAACTTTTCCTTTGGATTCCCTCTCTCCCTTTGCCACTGTCTCTAATTATGCATTTGTTCCCGGCTTTGGTAACATACCTGTGTGTAGCACACGACCATGCCCTGTTGCTGACGAATGAGTCTCCCAACCCATCAGTAGACATTCCTGTCTTTCCTTCTGGAAAGAACCACCAAAATGATCATGGGTCACCTTGAGAACTAGCGTCCTGAGAAATAGGCAGCTCGGGTGTTTTCAGTTGTTCGAGGGCAGAGCTTGGATCTTATTGGTGATGTCAACCAGGCCTCACATGTAGTAAATTGCTGGACACCTTACCAGTTTATTGAGTGCCTTTGTCTTGCTTGAACAGTGTGTGTTTTCTTTGAAGGGGCCCCATAGCGGGGCTGTGGTGGGGGTGGGGGTCCACCATCCCAGAGTCTTTTCCTGTCTTTACTTTCTTCTGGCAGGGAACTTGAAACAGCAGCCCGCTTTCTGAGACAGACAGAACTGTGATTGATCCTCCTTCTCCTTCTGTGATTTACTTGCTTGTCCACAGACATGATGAGATGTGAGTCAGCTTTCCTTCCGGCAGCCAGAAGTGATCTGTGCATTTCCCTTTGTGCTCTGGGTCCTCTTATCTCTGCTTTCAGATAAGGCAGTGGGTTATTTCAGGCAAAGCCTCATTGTTGCAGAATGTCTGGGTTTTTCTCCCCCCCGCCCCCAGGTGCGAGAGGGGCCTGGAGCACACCATCCCCCACTACATCACCACGTACTTGCCGCTGCTACTGGTCCTCGTGGGCAACCCCATCCTATTCCGAAAGACGGTGACTGCAGGTAAAGGGCAGGGAAGCTTCCCCGGGGAGGAGGCCACGGGATGAGCCCCAGGTCTTGGGCCCCAGGCATTACCTAGGACCCCTGACCTCATCTGTCATCCTGCCGAGATGAGCAGAATGAAGCTGGGGAGAGTGAGTGGGTTTATATCAGTGACAGGGAGCGAACCCACTCAGTCACAGGCTAGATGAAATCTTGGCCAGCATCTGTTAGTGCACAGCCTGGGGACCCGTGGACTTTTTCCCTTCTACCTGGACTCATCCTGGGTCTGTCCTTGGCGTGCCCCCAAAGACCCAGTGTCCTTGAAAACCGGCGGAGGGGGAGATGGAAACAGGAGAGGAAAGGAAAGGTCAGCCGTGGACCAGGGGCGGAGATGTCCCCGGTGGGTTGGGGGGGGGGCTGGCTCCCCCTGTTGTCTGGGCCCATGTCTTCTCCCAGCTGGGCAGGAAACAGGAAGGGGCGCGCAGGATGTGAGTCAGAGGCACCAGAATGTGTGCCCTATGGGTCCCTCACGGGCAGAATTGGAATAAAGAAACACACCTCCGCAGAAAGGTCACCAGAGGATCGACTGTGGATTGCAGAACTTTAAGCGACATGCTCTGCTCCTTAGGGAGACAACATCACCAAGGCTCTTTGGGTCTCCCTCTTTGTATCTGCATTGAAAACCAGTGTGTGTACACTTGTAACTAACACAACGCTGGAAATCAACTCTACTGCGATAAAAATTTAAAAACACACAGCCCCCATAGCGAATTAGAAGGAAAGAAAGTGAAGTTGCTCAGTCGTGCCCGACTCTTTGTGATCCCATGGGTTGTAGCCTACCAGGCTTATCCATCCATGGAATTTTCCAGGCAAGAGTACTGGAGTGGGTTGCCATTTCCTTCTCCAGGGGATCTTCCTGACCCAGGGATCTAAGGGGGGGGGGGCCTCCTGCATTGCAGGCGAATTCTTTTCCAGCTGAGCTATCAGGGAAGCCACAAAGACTTCAGAGTAAACCTTTAAAAGCTATGTATTCCCCCCGAGTGTCTGAGAAGCACCCCTCCACCCCCACCCCATGCAGTGGTGAGAGAAGCATGGTTAGCATCTTGCTTCCAGCTCTCCAGGGTGACTTGCGGGCTCCCATCCACTTTGCTGCCCTTTGTAAATCCTGAACATCACACACCATTCCCCCCTGCTCTCCACAGTGGCCTCCTTACTGAAGGGAAGACAAGGCATTTACACAGAGAACGAGAGACGCCTGGGAGCCGTGATCAAGACCCGATTCTTCAAAATAATGCTGGTTTTCATCATTTGGTAACATGCATCTTTTTCTTTAAACTGTCACTGGGAAGTGAAATGCAAACCGCTTGTCAGGTGCCTTCCCAAGTGTGATCTGAGTTCCAGACGCAGAGTCTTGGGAGAGGAAACCTTTTGAGGCTTGTCCAGATGGCCCTGGAGGCAATGCTGTCCAGACAGGAAGGCCGGTCTACAGTCATGACCTTCTAGAAAGATATTCACGTCCGCTCCAATTATAGAGAATCCCTAAGAACAGAAAATCCTCACTTTAACATGGACACATCCAAACCACTTGCCTCCCGAGTATTGTCCCATCGCCGGGGTTAATGTTCAAATCAAATGCTTCATCATGCCTTCTAAACCCATCTTTTATTTTTGCATCCATCTTTGTATTATTTTTTAATTAATTTTTTTTTTTGCTGCAATGTGAGGCATGTGGGATCTTACTTCCCCGGCCAGGGATTGAACCCTCATCCCTTGCACTAAAGTACCGAGTCCTGACCACTGGACAGCCAGGGAAGTCCCTGCATGTGTCTTGACAACAGGGTGCCTGTGTCTGATGAGACACAGGGGCGATGGCCCTTGTGTGTGTGATGACTCACAGCTCAGGGCAACAAAGACGGAGACCAGGACTCCCCGGGAGGCCCAGTGGTTAGGACTCTCAGCTCCCACTGCAGGGGGCAAGAGTTCCATCCCTGGTTTGGGAAACTAAGATCCCAAAAGCTGTGGGGCACAGCCAGAAAAACAACTAATAATAATAATAATAATAATAATAATAAAGAAGCGTAGAGAGCAATCTTCATCCCCTCAGCGGCCTGCCCCCCACAGGCAGCCTGCCCCAGCATTTCAGGTGGGTGTGTTCTGTGCAAATAGACCTGTGACAAGTACCAAATCAGAAAGCCCTTTGCTGCAGCGACAGTGATTTGCAAGACAGGACACACGGTGGTGGTTAATAATTTATCTGATGGGAGGAGGCTGGTTTGGACATTCTCCTGGGAGAGCCGTGAGTTACCTCCATCTGAAAATAGCCCGAGCCCGCCATTTCCAACTTCACCGACCTGCCGACACTAACGTCAGAAATTTCCGACATAAAACATCAAGATTTGTGTTGGTCTCCAGCAAGATGGCAGCTTGCTTGTTTCTGGGCTATTTGACGTGTGCTAGAACCTTCCACCCAGTGTGATGTTGATTGTGACGTTCGGAAGGGTCTCTTGGTCTCTGCTTTTGGCTGAGTGGGGTGCCATCTCTGAGGTCTAATTCTTGGGGTGCTGGTTCCTCCTGCAGCTACTTGGTCACCCCTCCTGGACTTCTAGGTCTTGGGAGACATGTTACCTGGAGCTTCTCAGGTGGTTCAGTGGATAAAAAAAATCTGCCTGCAATGCCAGAGATGTGGGTTCGATCCCTGAGTTGGGAAGTTCCCCTGGAGAAGGAAATGGCAACCCTCTCCAGTATTCTTGCCTGGGAAATCCCATGGACAGAGGAGCCTGGTGGGCTACAGTCCATGGGGGTTGCAAAGAGATGGACATGACGGAGATACTCAGCACTCATGCATGCAGACATGTGCCCTGACCTCTGGCGTTGAAAACAAATGATATTGTGATGCAATTATCCTCCCACTAAAAAATAAGCAAAAATTTTTAAAAAGCAAATGATATCGCATGTTCTCTTTACCTGTGGCCCATTTTCTTTCTCACAGCTGGTTCTCAAATGTCATCAATGAAAGCCTTTTGCTCTATCTTGAAATGCAACCAGATATCAACGATAGCTCTTTGAAACAGGTCAGAAATGCAGCCAAGACCACATGGTTCATGATGGTAGGTCAATCGTGATTTAAAATGTACTTCCTAAAGAAAAAAAAAAACAAACAAAAAAACCCAGACAGGATTAAAACCACTGAGAAGTATGATCTATGTGTTATTTAAATATGCAGTGAGTTGAAGAGGTTGCAGGGGCCCCCGTGTCTGGCTGTGGTCCATGAGCTAGCTCGTGCATTCAATGTTGGCATCATTATCAGACGGATATGAGTCTGGTAAGTCAGTTTGTCAAGTGTCTCAAACCTTTCAGGCAGACTAAGACTATCTGAGAATTTCTCTGGAAGAAATGTTTCAGACTGAAAAAGCCACAGAGTTGGAGGTATTGCTTGGAACACTATCCATAAATATAAAGCATTCTAGACAACCCACATCTTTTTTTTTTTTTTTTAAAGGGAATGATTAAGTAAATCACTGTCTTTGATCTTGATGGAATGGTATGCAGATGTTGAAAATGACAATGTAAATTATGACAATTATGAAATCTCGTAATAAGTGAAAAATGCAGGACATAGAGATTATACTCATTTCAACTCCCAAATCACACATGTAGGCAACAATATTGCCTAGAAACACAACACCATAATACGGTGGAAAGACCACAGATACATTGTCCTCCATTTTTCCAGTATATTGTGTCTCCACTACAAAAACTCCATACAGGAGCTGTTAGTGGAGAGGTGCTGGGTTTCCCTGCAGGCTCAGCAGTAGAGAATCCGCCTGCCAATGCAGGAGACCCCAGTTCGATTCCTGGGTCAGGAAGTTCCTCCGGAGAAGGGCATGGCAACCCACTCCAGTGTTCTTACCTGGAGAATCCCATGGGCAGAGGAGCCTGGTGGGCTACAGTCCATGGGCTTGCAAAGTGTCAGACACAACTTAGCGAATAAACAAGTGAGAGGTGCGCCGTGCCCTCAATTAAATACTTGTGTATTCAGCGTTGGCATCATTATCAGACGGATATGACTCTGGTAAGTCAGTTTGGCAAGTGTCTCAAACCTTTGAAGCAGACTAAGAATATCTGGCAATTTCTCTGGAAGAAATGTTGTGGACTGAAAAAGCCACAGAGTTGGTGGTATCCCTTGGAGCACTGTCCATAAATACAAAGCGTTCTAGACAACCCACATCGTTGGGGTGATGCCCAGGACCTTCCTCTCCACCCCCCTGGCTTCCTGTGTCCCCCTCTGAAGGCCCAGCACCTCCAAGCCAATCTCTCTCTTGCCCCAAACCAGCCAAAGGGGCGCATCCCAGTTGAGGCCAGCCCCGTGCACCAGAGTGACCCCCGTGAGCCCTGATGCCCGTCGGCGCCCTGACTTACACGCTGTCTCTTTCTCCTCCCTCCCAGGGGATCCTGAATCCAGCCCAAGGTTTCCTCTTGTCCCTGGCCTTCTACGGCTGGACAGGCTGCCTCCTGATGCTTCCAGGTCCCAGCAAGGAGATCCCATGGGACTCGATGACCACCTCGGCCACCGAGGGGGCTCCCCCGTCCCCCGGGGGCCCCCGCAAGCCCGGGGAAGGCCCCACTCCCAAGAAGGAGCTGCCAGGTGGCGTGCACACTTCTGACGAGGCCTTGAGCCTGCTGTCTGAAGGTAAGAGCCTCTAGGTGGGGGCAGGCCTAGGTTGGGGGCCCTGGGTTCCCCAGGAGCTCCTTTGCCAACAACCAGGAGGCGCTCTGCCCTGTTTTCTGGAACCAGCTTCAGGGCGTGAGTGGAAAGGGACCACCTTAATCTTGCAGCTCATCACTTATAATGTGAGCATGGTGCCTTTTCTCTGCCTGCGTGCCATTTGGCTTCAGTCCTGTCAAAGTCTCTGCGACCCCAGGGACTGTCGCCCCACCAGGCTCCTCTGTCCATGGGGATTCTCCAGGCGAGAATACTGGAGCGGGTTGCCATGCCCTCCTCCAGGGGATCTTCCCCACCCAGGGACTGAGCACCATAGCCTTGTGTTAATGATCACTAGCTCTGCCTTGGGATGCATGACATTCTGAGTCTGAGATAAACGGTCACTTCTCGCCCGGCGCTGACATTTCCTGTAAGACAATGGACAGTAGGCGACCTGACCTCTGGAGTTTTTTACGTGCAGTTTTGGTTTGTCCAATTCATCTGGGGGTGTTTAAGACGAAACGCAGGTCACCCATCGCAGACTCTTCCGCTCTGTCCTCTTCATTTCAAGACTCTCACACTGTGGCCCTCAAATCGGTCCTCTTTTTAAAATCCTGTTCATCTAATTTGGACTGACCTGGTGTCTCAGATGGTAAAGTGTCTGCCTACAATGCCGGAGACCCAGGTTCGATCCCTGAGTCGGGAAGGTTCCCCTGGAGAAGGAAATGGCAAACCCACTCCAGTACTCTTGCCTGGAGAATCCCATGGATGGAGGAGTCTGGTGGGCTATAGTCCGTGGGGTCGCCAAGAGTCTCACACAACTGAGAGACTTCACTTTCACTTTTCAGCTAATCTGTGGTTAATGTCCATTAGCCCAACTGATATGGAGGATGAAAGTGTCATTTTAAGGCCCAAAAAATGTTTCTCTAAAGCTTGAAAGTGAACGTGAAGTCACTCAGTTGTGCCCGACTCTTTGCGACCCCATGGACTGTAGCCTACCTGGCTCCTCTGTCCATGGGATTTTCCAGGCAAGAATACTGGAGCCGGTTGCCATTTCCTTCTCCATGAAATCTTCCCGACCCAGGGATCAAACCCGGGTCTCCTGCATTATAGGCAGACACTTTACTGTCTTAGCCACTAGGTGTGGGTTTCTTTAAAGCTTATCAGTTACTAAACCTACTACATATATTTAATATTTATATATTCATGTATATCTATTTATATCTATTGATTATAAAGTATTAATTACATATACCTTTTTGTAAACTTACTACTACCCTATAGTTGATCGTTTGCTCTATATTCTGAACTCATGGTTACAAAAAGCTCATTCTAATCAAGATGGGTAATGAGAGAGACAGTAATGACCAGACTATGAGCTGTATTCCTAATTAAATCTCAGTGACCGTCATGGCTGTGACAACTGATTCATTTTTACACTCCCTCGTCTATGCAGATTTTATCCCCTTGAGAGATCCTTCTGGAGTGGACGTTTTGCTGTTAGCGTTGAGTAGCAAAACTGAAAATCCTTTCCAAGAAGAAAACACATGTTTGCAGCACCTCCTCTGGGGGCCGGGGGCTGGACTCCCACAAAGTCTGCTTGGGGATGAGGCTACCCCACCCCTCCCTTCTGTCCCCACCAGGGCCTTGAAGGTCTCCCTCTTGCCACTTCACTACACTGGGGCCAGCTGAAAGCACTTTTAACCAGAATGCATCACCCTGCATCCCATGGACCATCTTGCATTCATACCTCATGCTTGACCGCTACACCTGGGAAGGGCCAATAGTTGTTTAATAATTATGCTAAATTACATGTTTGATGGCAAATTAGTCCATTAGTCCTAAAAGGCTTCAGTTCAGTTCAGCTCAGTCACTCAGTCATGTCCGACTCTTTGCGACCCCACGGACTGCAGCACACCAGGCCTCCCTGTCCATCACGAACTCCCGGAGTTTACTCAAACTCATGTCCATAGAATTGGTGATGCCATCCAACCATCTCATCCTCTGTTGTCCCCTTCTCTTCCCACCTTCAATCTTTCCCAACATCAGGGTCTTTTCTAATGAGTCAGTGTTCACATCAGGTGGCCAAAGATTGGAGTTTCACCTTCAACCTCAGTCCTTCCAATGAACATTCAGGATTGATTTCCTTTAGGAAGGACTGGTTGGATCTCCTTGCAGTCCATGGGACTCTCAAGAGTCTTCTCCAATACCACAGTTCAAAAGCATCAATTTTTCGGCACTCAGNTTTGCTGTGATCCACACAGTCAAAGGCTTTGGCGCAGTCAATAAAGCAGAAGTAGATATTCTTCTGGAATTCTCTTGCCTTTTCTATGATCCAGCGGATACTGGCAATTTGATTTGTGGTTCCTCTGCCTTTTCTAAATCCAGCTCGAATATCTGGAAGTTCTCAGTTCACATACCATGGAAGCCTAGCTTGGAGAATTTTGAGCATTACTTAAAGGCCTAAGAGTAACTAATTGTAAGATTTAAAGAACTCTTAGACATGAGGCTTAAAGATTTAAGGAATTCTTAGTAACATACAAGTTAGGGTACTATGTCATATGTATCTCAAAAGAGCTGGGGAGAAAAAAAGGGTTGAGATTTTCTTAACACATTTTTTAAACTGAGGCTTTATGATGAATAAGCACTTTCTTTAAATTGTAGCAACATTTAAATTGTAGCAACATTAGCTTATTAGAGGCAAGGTGACTTACGAACTAAGTATAAGGGATGCAAGAGCCGTGACAGTGACCTCCAGAAAGGGCTCCTGGCAACTGGGCACAGGACTCCTCATCTGGGCCTCCTCCACATGGGCTGAGGACTAGCCCTTCTTGCAAATCTCCTTCAGTATTTCTTGAGCTCTAAAAGGGTAATAATAACAATGATTCTCATAAGATTATGTAGACTGTGCGGTATGTGTTTACATAGTGCTGGGACAAAGAGGGCATTCAATAAACACTAAATCTATTAAGAATGCCTAAGTAATGCTGTGATGTGCTAAATCACTTTAGTCTTGTTTGACTCTGTGCGACCCTATGGACTGTAGCCCGCTATGGACTGTAACCCACCAGGCTCCTCCGTCCATGGGATTCTCCAGGCAAGAATGCTGGAGTGGGTGGCTGTGCCCTCCTCCAGGGGATCTTCCCAACCCAGGGATCGAATGCGCATCTCTTAACGTCTACCTGCATTGGCAGGTGGGTTCTTCACCACTAGGGCCAACTGGGAAGCCCAGTGACATATTCATAAATTGAGTGGGAAGAGGAAGCAAATGTTGGGGAGGAATGGAACTAAATGGCCATGAAGGGGATTTCCCTGTTGGGCCAGGAGTTAAGACTCAGTGCTGCCCCTGCAGGGGGCAAGGGTTCAATCCTTGATCTGGAACTAAGCTTCCCACATGCCATGTGGTGTGGCCAAAAAAAAAAAAAAGAAGGGTTATGAAAATTTCCAATCTTCATTTAAAATATCAAGGCAGAGCAATCTGGGCCAAAGATGTGTGTTCAGTTCAGTTCAGTTCAGTCGCTCACTCGTGTCCAATTCTTTGGGACCCCATGGAATGCAGCACGCCAGGCCTCCCTGTCCAACACCAGCTCCCAGAGTTTGCTCAAACTTGTGTCCATCGAGTCGGTCATGCCATCCAACCATCTCATCCTCTGCTTTCCCCTTCTACTCCCTCCTTCAACCTTTCCCAGCATCAGGGTCTTTTCCAATGAGTCAGATCTTCACATCAGGCGGCCAAAGGATTGGAGTTTCAGCTTCAGCATCAGTCCTTCCAATGAATATTCAGGACTGATTTCCTTTAGGATGCACTGGTTGGATCTCCTTGCAGTCCAAGGGACTCTCAAGGGTCTTCTCCAGTGCCACAGTTAAAGATGTGGGTACAAGTCAGCAAACAGAATCACTCCTACATACAAGACCCCCGCGTCTATGCCGCAGGCTGTACGCTGAGGAACCACAAGGCCTCACGAGCCGGAGGCCTTTTCGAATAAAGTGGTAATCTTGGAAATGAGATAAGGCTGCCTTAATCTCGGGCGTGTTTCCTTTCTCCTTTCCAGCCACTTTGCTTTCATAAGACAGAAAATACTGTTACATGTCAGAGAAAAGCCCAGAGATACAAGCCTCTCCCCGTCTGCACTGTTAGGAGGAAGCTTGACTTGCTTATCGTATCCTTAAGCCTCTATCTGCTACTTCAGGATTCATTTCCAGGCCAACAGGCTTCTACCGAGCCTCCGTCATTAAGTATCTAATTCGGTGTCTGGCACTTACTCGCCACTTAACAGAAAAGTCAACTGAATTTGAACAAATATTCATTGAGTGCTTGCAACCCGGTCAAAACCACTTTAGCTGCGGCGGGGGCTGGGTTGTGAGCATCTCTGAGGAGTATCACGTGGGGAACTTAGAAATAAAGACTTACAAATAAATAAAAGGCTGAACTTGCATGTCATTTGGCAGTGCAAAGCTGGAGAGAGGCAGGTGGGGAAGAGATCTGTCAACGGGTGTTTACAGATTCTGCATTTTTATCTTGCGGCCAGCAAAAGGCCAGTTAAGGTTTCTGAGCGGAGACAGAACGCTTACATTCGCTCATAGGACTAACCTTGTGACTGGAAAATTCCATGGATGGAGGAGCCTGGTGGACTACAGTCCAGGGGGTCACAGAGAGTCGGACACGACTGAGCGACTTCACTTTCACGACTGTGGCAACAGTTCACAGTGAGAGGATTTTGTGTATAATTCTTGATGACAGCTTGAGTTCAAAATACAAAGAGCATCTTTGTGAAGAATCAGGATTTCCCACAAGCTGTCCCATCTTCCCAATAATCCCTTGCGTTTGCATACGTCCTCCTTCTCCATGCAATCCCCAGTGTTTCCCACAAAGCTCTATTTCCCTGTAATTCCCTACTTCTCTCTCCAACCCTGCCACACTTCTCCCACAGTTTCTTTCCTATAATCCTTGCCTTGCCCACAACTCTCCATTTGCCCACAGCTTTCTG